AGAGGATGGTAGGCTAAACACGGTAATAGTGGTGGACAAAATTTCCCTACAATTTGTTTGTCAAGTTTTCTCTTCCCTTGCATTAAATTTTATGGAAAGATTTTTTTAACTTTATGGTAATGATGCAAATTTAATCCATTCCAAGGTCAAGTTGATAATGCTTCATTACGATTTCATACATCTCAAAGAAGAGGATTTTAAGTCGATATGCCTTTTCCTTAAGGGTATTAGGCTTAAAATCCCTATGTCGTATATATGAGGGAGTTCTTTGATCCAATATCAATAAATGTCTAATTTAAAAAAAAAAGAAATTAAAGGAAAGAGGTATGATAAGCAAAGGAGTTTTATAAGAGATGGATACTTCAATTACAAGAAATTAATTGACATAATGACAACTTTGGAAGTGTACAATAGATGTGTGGATTTCCTTGCAAAGGAAAAGGTGATGAGAAAAACCTTATATGTTGCATGGTTATGATTCGAGAAGAAATTGGAATAAATTGATGGTTCTAATGAATAGGTCATTGTTTGGGGTACTAAATGCTATGTGGATTTGTGGTTATTTCTATTTGTGAGCATATGTTGTTAAGGTGTATGTAAGAATTGGATCAGTGTGTGTAATCCTTACAATCCTAGCATATTCAAGATGGTTGTATGTGTTAATGTCTTGTATGCAAGCAATATAGAAGATCTTGTGTTAGGTAAGGACAGTGAGTGTTCTTGAGGAATTGGTAGCTTGGGGTTTTTTTTGGAACATGAGTGGTAATGAGGTGTTGTAAAAGGTTGAAAGTAGTTATGAGAGAAAAACTCTCCTCATCTAAAGGGGAGAAAATTTTCTCATCTTATTTGCTAATATCAATAAAGTTTATTGGTTTAGCAAAAAAAAAAATGAACTATGAACTTTAATGATTATTTTTAGTTTAAGTTAGTGGTTTAGTTTTAAGGATTTATTACTTAAAAGTTGCTCTAGAATAATGGACTAGGGATTTTCTTAATAAATGAAAACTATTTTTTATAACAATAGAATACCATAAATAAAATCTATATCTATATATTAAAATTGTCTTTAAACAAAGTTTGGTGATGACACTTGTTTAAGTATATGGAAGTCTTAGCTAAATTGATTTTAGCCTACAAAAGCCTTCCCTGCATGACAATTTTCAAAGACACTTGTCCACTTTTATTGATGGGTTGTGGGGTTTTATGACAAAGGATTTTATGAAATTTAGAAAAGTTAAAAGATATTTTACTCATTTTTAGTCTTTTTCTAAAGGCATTTTCGGGTGGTTAATACACTCAAATGTCATTATCAAATTAAAATTATCCGTAATAAAGCTGTTGATGAAAACTAGTTATTTAGGTATACAAGTTTTAACTATTTATCTAAGTAAAATGATTCTAACTTATAAAAACCTTTCTATAAATGACACTTGTCCAACAACACATGCTTAATGACAACTATTTAATTTTATTGATGGGTTGTGGGGTTTTATGACAAAAGATTTAATAAAATATTAGAGAAGTTAAAGGATATGTTAGTCTTTTTATTAAGTCTTTTTAAAGGGTATTTTTGGGTAGTTAATATACTTAGATGTCATTATCAAAATATTGAGGGTATTATAGTCATTTTATATCTTTAAGTATGACTCTTTTTTTTTTACATTTTATTTTAATAATTATCATCATCAAAAGGTTAAATTTTCATCACATCCAAATTAAAGCTTCCCAAAAAGAAACAAAGGCCAAAGAAAGGAATTCTTAATGAGCATTTTGCATTGTAAATAGGTGGAGGGAGGAAAGTGAGAGGCAAAAAAGAAGAATGTAAAGAAAAAGAAAGAAATAGAGAGAGAAAGGTCTTTGGATTTCTAATGGAGAGAGTAAGAAAGAGAGTGAGAATGAAGGCAAAGAGGGAAAGAAGAGAAAAAGAGGAAAGGAAGATTGTTGGAGCGGTGTTTTTCTAATGAGAAAGGGGAAGGAAAAAAGAAGAAAAGAGAAATATGAAAAAGTAGGGAAACAAATTTGTTTAGTCATTTTGCTTTCATTTTTTTTAAAATTTAAATTTTTCTTGATTTTTGTTTTTGTTTCTCTCTATTTTTCTTAGTTTAGTATTGTTTTTTGGTAATTTTTATAGATGTAGAAATGCATTTCAAAATGCTTTTGGAGATCAACATGCAAATACGCTTAACAAGAGTATTAGCTAAGTTTTTGCTCTGTCATCATTCTTCAATCTATTTAACCTTACTCATCTTACAAGTTGCCCCTGTTTATTTTTCTTTTTCTTCTTTATTTACCTCTTTTTTTTCTTTTACTCATCATTCTTTAATGATTTATCAATTTTTTCATGCATCTTAAGTTCTTTGTTTGTTTAGCTTCTTTTTCTACCTTTCTTTCTCTTTATTTTCTATATTTATTTGAGTTTGTCATCACATTTTTCCTATTTTTTGTTGCTAACCATACTCATTTTGCTTTTTTGTGTTTTACTTTATTTCTCTCACTTTCTTTTCTATTATTTTGTTTATTCACCTAAAGGTAATAAAGTTTCAAAATTTTCTCTATATATATATATATATTGCTTTCAAGTTTTCTTTTTTCTATTAGTGTTGATAATTCTTTCTTTCATCGTGTTTTCTTTTCTTTGCTTGCATGTGTTTTTTTCTCTATGTTGTTCTTGCCCAATTGAATGATCTTTTTTTTTTCTCCAATATTTGTGTCAACTATGATAGTGCATTTTAGGCTTGCTTTATGAAATATATTTATTCCATATTAATTAAACTATTACCTCTTTTAGTTTGGGTTCAATGTTTTTGTTGGTTTTGTGGTTTTTTATTGATATTTTATTTCTTTTTTATTTAATCAGCTTCTTGAAGTCTTTTAGGTTTCTTGTGCACAAGTGATTTAATGCTTAAGTTTTGTATCTTTTTCTCTCTTTTTGTCTGTCCCTTTTCAATAAAAAATGATTTTTTAAATTTTGTTAATTAAAAAGAGGTTATTTTTGTGTCTTTAATTTATGATTATGAGCTTTAAACAAAAATTAGGTTATGTTCCTTTTAAATTGTCATGTAGTGTTTTGAATAACGAACATGATTGTCCATGTGTTTATAAGAGAAAATTTGATTCTTTTAGCATTAATCATGGAGAATCTAGCAAGACTATCAAAAGCGACAACGATATGGACTACATCAATGAAGTATATATCGCGATGGATGTAAAGTGCAATTATTTACTTTGTGTACATTTTGTAACAAACTATCTTTGTACATATGTAAAATGTTGATTAGCATGATGAAATTAAATATGCATATATGATACCCAATTTTATGTTTTTTTCTCATCATATGTTATATACTTTTGTTTGGGTTGTTGTTGTAATGTGTAGTATTATTCACAATTTTTAAAACAAAATGTTGATAAAACTTTACAAAATGCATATCAATCAAACACTTAGGAAAACCATGATACTGTCACAACAAAAGCTTTACCCATTGAAAATCCCACTATGTAACTATCACGACCCAATTTCGGAACATGACTAGTGTGAGGGCTTAATAGGTAAGGTTTATTAAGCCCAAGCAAACCTCGTAGTCATACACAACCTATACATGCTTTTATAATGCATACTTAATTCATATAAAATTGTCTACACTCCATTTCCAGGGATATCCATACATTGCATAAAAATGTGCCAAAGTTGCTCATAGTGCATGTACATATATTTATTGCAAAATCATAAACTTCATATAAACTCGAGGTTATATCATTATGAACCCTATACCCATGTACACAAAATACCTATGTGGGTAGATAGTGCAGTGACTCTTGGTGGTGGTATTACCAATTAAATGCCATCAATGTAAAACCTACCAAAAGGATTAGGTGGAGATCTATCACGACCCGCCTTGGGCCACGACTGGAACAAAGACTTAACAGGTCAACCCATTCAACCCAAGCAAACCTTCAATACCGTATCCATTCTGATATCCAAACATGACATTTTGAGGGAGTGCTTTATCTTAATAAGTATGCATGCATACATGATTATACTTAAATTATAAATTTCATTTAAAATTTCATACTACTTTCCTAATACATGTGCATGTGTAAAACCATCAAAGTAAACCAAAGAACTTGTAAGTTTGTATACTTCATAAAGTATGCCAACCAATCGCCAAGTAAAAACACTTAGCAAAATATTTTAAACCAAAACAAAGTGTGACTCAAACTCAACAAAAAGTGAAAAACCTTTATTGGATGCGTTGTGTAACATTCCACCCCCTTGGACGTTAACCTAATGAAAATTATTTTGCTAATTAAGGTGGTGACATGGGAAGTAAACTAATATTTTAATAATATATAAAAAAATAAATAATATTAAAATTTCATGTTAAGTGTTAGGATGGTATAACATTGGAAGACGATTTTGAGGAGTTAAGTTTGGTCAAAGTGGGGGAGACTGAGAAG